CCCCCCCCATCTCTAATTTTTTTCCTGCCCCTAAGGAATAAACGAGACAAAAAAACTTTCCCGTTTTTGGTTCCTTCAAGTATACATCCATACCACGAAAAAGATCATCGTTTGTCTGGGTTTTTTCTTCATCATAAATCGGCGGCGCATGAAAAACACAAGGCTTTTCTTAGTTTGACACTTCTAGAAATTATTCAAGTAAAGGGTCCTTTAATTTTCTGGTCTTCCATCTTGCATGTATGTTACGAATAAAATGTGAAATCTCGAAAAACATGCCAGTTTTGACGAAAGTTTTTGGTATTTTAATTGAAAAGTAAAATTGCCGAAATGGTCCACTGATTCTACACCCGTGGATTAAACCTAACTTTATGTGTATCGGATAATTATTATATTAGTTTATTGCGACAACCAGTATTTACAATGTAAGATGAACACAAAAACAAGCTATATACAAATGTTAGACCTATAATGTCTGCAGTTATATAGCATGTTTGACGACATGTGCAGCCTCTACTACTGTGGGCCCGGAGCGCTTTACACGAGGGTCCACTACAGGCACTGATAACCTAAAAACAAAACAAAACAAATATAACTAAATTAGAAAACTACTTCTTCTCGCCTGCCTGCAGCATAGTGACCCCTGCCTGCAGGAATGCCTTTTCTTTTCCTTATGAGGAACGCCAAAAAAACAAGAGCTGCCCTTACGGTAGCAAAAGGCCTATCCTTCTATCCTCGCTACTGGTAATAATAAACTGACTTACGTTTCTACCAAAAGTTTTCTTAAAATTTGCGAAAGGTAGTAACATCGTATGTTGTACATTATTTTATTCCTACCAACAAATGTATTTGCTTATGTACGTGTTTGTACAATACACAAAGTATCATACGAGCAAAACCTTGCAATCAAGCCTGAATTTTAAGATATCGATCGTGGCCTACAGACCCACCCAGGGCCTATAGAGTCTTGTGTAAGCTACTATGTAAATATATCGGCGCGCCACATGGCATGGACCACTTGCGGTATGCGCGTACCATAAAGATGAACTTTGTATCAAGACGGGTGTCAATACTTACTTAACGTTGGTTTTATTGTTAACGATGAACAATGGGTTGTGTGTGCTGAGAATCTCATCATTCACCGAGATACCTAAAAAGATTACGTACAGTCAGATTAGTAGCTTGAAGAAAGAAAGAAAGAGGGAGAGAGAGAGAGAAAGAAAGAAAGCAGAAACGAAAGAAAAATAAGAACCGAAATGAAAGGGAAGGGACGAACGAAGAAACAAAGCAAGGAAAATACATAAGAAGAGGAAGAGAAGTAATACATCAGGGATTTTTTGTTTGACTTACCATCGAGGTATTGTTTCAGAATCGCTCTCAACTGTTGATTCTCTTGTAATAACGAGTGTTTTTCCTTATCCAGAGCGAGCTTATCGAGTAAAACCTGGAGAAATTATCATGAACCAACCTTATTAGCTTTTGAACAAATATTCCCTGACCAAGAATAAGAAGAAAAAGTATAATGTACCTTATTATATCTCTTCCAGAAGTTTTCAAGCGAAGAATACTCATGCAGGATCTGTAACAATAGAAGTCGATTGATGGTGAATTCATAGTCTGATGATGCTGATATAGTTTCATTGCGTGAAAGCGACTGCAATGTTCTGGTAATGAGGCGATGTTCTCAGCCAATCAAACTTTGGTATACAGCGGCAGCGTTCTTTAATTCACAGTTTTATTAGAGGGAAAGTTGCCTCCAAAACTGACTTCCTATTAGAAAAGCATCGACTATCTGCGGCATGTACGCTAAAATTTGGATCTTGGGACCCACATATTTCGTCATATTAGGATCCAAAGGATTTTTTAGTACCCAATATTTCATTTATTTCGTTCAGTTTTCCCGTGAGGGCAGGGACGCCAAAGGGACGTCAGTTATTTTAAGACACTGAGTGCTGGTCCAGCAAAGGCTTGGACGACGACTTCCTGCACGACCACTGCTACCAACTTGAGCTAACGGCGATTTTGACAGCCCAATGCCATTGATACGAGACAAGTGGAATGTGTTTCGGGAATTGGAAAATTCATCTTTGTGGTTTTTTTTTTCTTTGCGTTAACTCAGGGATTATTGGTAAACGTTTAATTGCATGATTGATATACTTTACAGCTCTTTACACTTACCTCGGCCAAAGCTTCAGAAGGTGCCTCCTGTACAGCGGCTGCCACGTCATCTTCTTCTTCTGGTGATAATGATGAAGCGTAGAAAGGAAGAACCTTTTCTTGTTCTGTTTCGAGCTTACGGCACATTTCAGCCAATTTGACTATTCTTTCTCCCTACATAAGACAACCAGTGAATAGCTATAGAACTTCTTCATCATGTAGTTATCATTATAATATCTAGTAATTATCCATCACCATCTCATGTAATTATCGTACCATTATTATCAACAACAGAATCACTATCATTTCCACCACCGACCATTATCAACATTATAGTACACTCAACAAAATTACTCGACTCTGATTGGTCGAGAGGAGTACAATTATAGCGTTAATTGTACTCCGTAGGAGTACCGAATTAAGTCGCTATGGCAACAMGGCCAAAACAATGTCAAAACAATTATTTTCTATCATTTTGTACTTAAAAAACATAAATAAAATTTTAAAGCCGTAAGAACTAATCTTTTTTATGCATTTCAGTTGCACGATGGACTGAAAATCGGCCGCCAAATAGACAAAGATGAACGGCGTCGCTTCGAATTTTTTACTGAAATTTTGTTGAGTGAACTATAAACAAAAAATCACACGATCTTCTCGTACAATTTGGAATTAATAGACACTCGTAATGTTTTGAAAGTTCTTTAATTGCACTCGCCTAAAGGCTCGTGCAATTATAAGAACTTTCAAAACATTACTCGTGTCTATTAATTTCCAAATTGTACTCGAGATCGTGCGATTTCCTATACTAATCTCCATCATCAGCATTATCATCATCAACTTTATGATCATCAGGAACAGCAGCAGTTGCAGAGACTATCACTATCACTACCATTATCATTAGCATTAACATCATCATCATCAGCAGTTGCAGAGACTATCACTATCACTACCATCACCATTATCATTAGCATCAACATCATCAGCAGCAGCAGTTGCAGAGACTATCACTATCAATACCATCACCATTATCATTAGCATCAACATTATCAGCAGTTGCAGAGACTATCAATACCATCACCATTATCATTAGCATCAACATCATCAGCAGCAGCAGTTGCAGAGACTATCACTATCAATACCATCATCATTATCATTAGCATCAACATTATCAGCAGTTGCAGAGACTATCATTATCAATACCATCATCATTATCATTAGCATCAACATTATCAGCAGTTGCAGAGACTATCACTATCAATACCATCACCTTTATCATTAGCATCAACATCATCAGCAGTTGCAGAGACTATCACTATCAATACCATCACCATTATCATTAGCATCACCATTATCATTAGCATCAACATCATCATCATTAGCAGCAGCAGCATTCAATCTAAAAATTTCCTTGTTGGTTGGTTTCATCATATCATGGTTTCTTCAACCATTAATGATTTGAATAGCCAAGCTTTCAGGTTCATGGCCCATCATCAGCGAAAAATGAAGCAATTGATTGTACTACTTACTGTACGGACAGATAACATTAGTATTATGATATACACATGTACAATACCACTATGTACACTGTAACTCTTACCATTTCATGTTTGACTTTTAGCTTCTTGATTGCAGCATTACTTTGTAAGGTTAGTTGAGTTAAACGTGACCTGACAACAAAATGCATTCTAATTGAAGGTTTGGCATAGCCATGGCTGTGCATAGCACTATGTTGTGGTGCTGTGCAGTGGAGCATTGTGGAGTGTTGTATTGTTTTGTTTTATGTATTGCTTTGCAGAGTTGTGTTGTAGTGTGACTAACTCCCTCTGAAGTGAGATTTGCATTGATAAGTAATATATATTACATGGGATGTGATGTGATGTGCCATCACTTGATACAGTGGGAAGTTATGGGGTATTCTGTTTGTGACATTTAGAAATTAAAAAAGTGTCTGGGTTTTTGTAGTTGTAAAGCACACAGGGATTAGCAGAACATGAAAGAAGGGCTTGAAGAGAAGCACAGCATGTAGCAGCAGCAGTTGTGTAGCAACACATTGTGTTGTATTGCATTGCATTGTGTAATGGCTGTTGTGCTGTATCCTACTGCTCACCTTTCGGTGTCTCGCATTTTATTCATTTCAGCTTTCAGCTCATGAAACTGTACTCCAACAACTTCTCTTTGCTAAAGACGAATGCAGTGAGATGTTAACATTTTATAATCAGGAAAAATGAATCTGAGTTAAATTAACAACGGATAACTCTTGTACTCACATCTTTGATCATTCTGTTTCTTTCATCACATTCTCTAGAGTTGGATGCCATTTTAGCCTTGATCTGAGAAATGTTGTCCTGAAAATATATTACAGAAGTTAATATTCATTGTTTATGTCCTCAGCACAACTCCATCGCCATCTTGAACAACATCAACATCAGCATCGACAGCAACAGAAGCATCACCACTATCATCAGCATCATTATCAACTGCAACAGCAATATCAATACCACTATAAAACCACTGATACATAAGCATGTGTCACAATTTATTAGCATCAAAAAACTACTGCCATCATCACCCGGGAACTTGGGTAGGGGTGTGCCGCCAGGACCTCAAAACCCTGACCCTATCCCAGACCTAAATTTTTGAATTTACATACCCTACCCCAGACTAAGGCTAAGAATTGTACACCCTATCCCAGACTAAAAGACGGAAAAGACGGTTATTTAATAGATTGCAATCAATATTTACTAACGTTTTTATTGT